TCGCAGGATACCCTCTAGCTGATAGTTCTTGATTACTTTTTGATAAATAATTCGTTCTTATTGCGAAATAGGAGCACTATTTATCAATCTCTAATAAAAGACGTGAGGAAACCCTGTCTTTTTTAAAGACAAAAATTTTTGAGGCGAAATACCCAAAAAGAAGGTTGTAAAAAAAGACCCGTATTATTAGCCTCTGGCTAGTAGCGAAAGACGCGACTCACTTCCAGGACTGATCTTCAGCCTGGCTTCCTCCGACTCCAGCAGCTTCCTATAGGCAGCAATTTCCAGATCGAGAGACACTTTGATGTCCATCAGGTCTTGGTATTCTTGCAGCTGATTGGACATTTCCTCGCGCAGCCTGTGCAGGTCGGCCTCGATGATCGCCAGCTCTTCGGCATGCTTCAAGCGCTCGTGCTAAACAGCAAAACTCCCATTGATCACAGTCCTCCCAAGCCCCCCAACCAACTGTACCTCCAGAAGTTTCTCCAGGTCTCTGGCCCGTCCAACCAGGCCGCTGTTTTCGTTTTCAAGCTGACTGACTCGGTTGCTCAAAGAGTCAATTCGGGTGCGCGTTTGACGCGCTTCTTCAATGGCATTGTTGGCGGCTTGCGAGTGCCTGCTGGCGGCTGATTGGAGATTCTGCAAATTGGGGGCGTTAGTCGATTCGGTCAGCTTTGGATGGGCATCAGTGTGCGTTTTACCTTAATCTTGTTTTCGTAGAGCAGCTCAATTTCCTGCCGATTGTTGGCCATCTGGCCCTCGTATTGGTCGCGCAGATCTTGCAGGGCCTGCTGCAGCTTGGCCTCATATTGTTCGGCCAATTGCCCATCAATCTCGCTAATTTCGATTTGGCGCCGACTGCGGGTCTCTGTTAGCTGCTGCTGGAACACCTAGAATCCACCAATGGGCTTAGTTCTATCGGTTTTCCATTAATCAGTTGGTTATTAATTTTTCAGTTATTATCCATTAATTAATTATTAATAAATTTTCCATTAATCAGTTTGCTGATTGGCATCTGAATACAGATCGGGTAAACAGAAGCAACTATTTTTAAGTCCCCTATTTATGCCGATGACATCAACATCGCGCTACACTCGTTCGGACAGTGTAGCACGTTTTGCATACCGCGCTTTTAAAAACATTCAAACGCCGAATCGATTAACACTTTCGCTCGGACAGTGTATATGATAAATCAGAAACAAGGCGGTCCACGCTGAATATTTCCGAATAAATTTCTAATATAAAATGTGATGTCATCAGCTAAATAAACGTTCTTTTTGCCTAGAAACTCGCCGATTGGCCAGCTGCTTGGTTGCTGATAATATGCATAACTTGACCAGATTCTTAATGATTATCGCAGCCCACGTATATGAAGAATCTTCCAAACCAAGCGGAGATTTATTTACTGCATTGTCAATTGATACACTAAAATGCATATGATTTGAAAATTCCCACCCGCAGTGTTTAGATTATTATTCAAATTGCGGGAAAATTTGTCGCTGTTTTTGTTTGGGTCAAAAGTTGATAAAAATAATAAGTTTAAAGTTGCCACTGCCCCTAGGTTGGAAGGTGCGAATTTTTCAAACAAAGAGTGCATTTGTGTGAAAACGTCAATTTTTCGGACAACTTTACCAAATCGGTAAAAATCGGCAGTTGGGCCGATTTGATTGAAACTTTCATGGGTTTGAGACTCATCTGTCTTCTATAGACTGTGAAAGTTTCAAGTGTCTACGCCCCCTAGATTGGAAGTTGTGAATTTTTCAAACAAAGAGTACAAGTGTGTGAAAACGTCAATTTTTCGGACAACTTTACCAAGTCGGTAAAAATCAGCAGTTGGGCCGATTTGATTGAAATTTTCATGAGTTTCAGACTCATCTGTCTTCTATAGACTGTGAAAGTTTCAAGTTTCTACTACCCCTAGGTTGAAAGTTGTAAATTTTGCAAACAAAGAGTACATTTGTGAGGAAACGTCAATTTTTCGGATAATTTTACCAAGTCGGTAAAAATCAGCAGTTGGGCCGATTTGATTGAAATTTTCATGGGTTTGAGACTCATCTATCTTCTATAGGCTGTGAAAGTTTCAAGTTTCTACTGCCCTTAGATTGGAAGTTGTAAATTTTTCAAACAAAGAGTACATTTGTGTGAAAACGTCAATTTTTCGGATAATTTTACCAAGTCGGTAAAAATCAGCAGTTGGGCCGATTTGATTGAAATTTTCATGGGTTT